AAGCGGTTCCTCTCTCCATGCTAAAATCAATTCATATATCCATACAAAAAATCTCACTTTCAAGCGAGTATTTCGCACAGGGCAAAACAACTTTCGATTCATCAAAATATTCAGCGTTTAGGATAGGTTATACAACTATACAATCATACAGCGATATTCAACTACACATAATCACACACAGGATCCATGATTTACGCTGAACGCGGTAAATTTCTATATTTAGGCAAAAATATCAAGTAATTGATAAAACTTAATCATAATTAAGGATAAACGATTGATGTTTCAATAACCACCTCCGTACGTTAGATTGTGTTAATGATCCTGACATTGTATGGATTTGTTCATATCTATATTAATATTCGTTAATTTATTCACATTCATATTGATGCTGAATGACTTACCATATATAGATAATTTATTCACCTCAACTTCCATGTTAAGAAACTACTTCATATTCATGATGAAATGAACACGACATTAAGTTTAAATTAAACCAAATTAAGTTAAGGCTTGGTTAACCTTCTGTCAAATTAAGGTAACTCTCGTTACCAGGCCTTTAGGTACGCATACCATTGACGCAAGTAATTATTTATACGCACACAGAGGGCTAACACGACGAGAAACTCAGAGCTAATTCTAGCAGGGTAATCCATAACAGGGATAATAAAATTTAATAATTAATTCTTTATTTTTTGTAATTTAATAAAATATATAATATAATATACAATAAAATATATAATATAATTTAATTTTTAACATGATTTAATTTAATATCAAACAGGCATGATAAAGTTTAACAAAGTTACCCCATGCAGCGCAACCCTCAGCATAACTTGAGACTCTAACTTCCCTCTTGTCACTCCCTCTGATGACACAGCAACTGCGTCTGTCTCGCGGCTTTAAAGGTAATGAGAAAACATTTCCCCTTCCACATTGAGAAAGGCAAAAATGCCGTCCCCTTCCACCTTGAGAAAGGCAAAAATGCCGTCCCCTTCCACCTTGAGAAAGGCAAAAATGCCGTCCCTTCCACCTTGAGAAAGAAGAACATGTCGTCCCCTTCCACCTTGAGAAAGGAAAAAAGCCGTCCCTTCCACCTTGAGAAAGGCAAACATGCCGTCCCTTTCACCTTGAGAAAGGCAAACATGCCGTTCATTCCAACGACTGGAAAGGCAATTCATGAAGTTGACTTCGTGCAAAAGGAAAGAAAAAGTTTCGTTCATGGCGCGCGTGCAGGAACGTAAATACAAGAAGTTCGTCGGTGCAATAGCACAAGAATGTGAAGAGCAAATGTGCAGAGAGCAGCAAATATCAAAAGGCTCTATTTAAATACACAGTTTATGGCTCTAAGTAAAAAACATAGTTTCTATGCGCATAATCTTTTCTATTAAACACATTTTTTATCCAGTACCTGTAATTTCTTACTATTATGGTAAATTGGTAATTTTTCACTCTTATAGCTCATTATTAGCACAACGATTGAAATACGGTTACGGTTAATACGGAATGATTATTACTGCAAGTGTTATACGGAGCGAACATTTGTCACAGCGTTATACAGAGAGAACGTTTGTCGCGGCGTTATACGGAGAGAACGTTTGTCACAACGGTATACGGAGAGAACGTTCATCACGTTATACGAAGCGAACGTTTATCACACCGTTATACGGAGAGAACGTTTATCACAACGTTATACGGAGAGAACGTTTATCACAACGTTATACGAAGCGAACGTTTATCACACCGTTAAACGAGGCGAACGTTTATCACAACGTTATACGCAGAGAACGTTTGTCACAGCGTTTTACTCGCTTATTCTTTAAGTTCAAATCAATGCGTAATTGAAACTGTACCTTATATGGATTTTTGTAAATTCATTCTTTTGAAAATGAAGTCATTCATGAATTCCAGTCAGTTTTCATTCATTTCCATCATAAAGTTTCGACAATAATTTAGAAAGTCACCGCAGTGCACATAAATATTCGCTGCAGCCATGGGCTAATGTGAATTATGAAGAATATACCAATCCAAGGAGGAATGTACAGAGGAATGAGTAGAGAAGTGTAGAGGGATAGACGTTCAGTGTGATGCTAAATTAAACATTTTTCAATTTAATGAATTAATACAACGATGGTGATAGGGGGCGAAATCTGCACCACACGCAAGCGTAGAGTCATTTGAATAATTGAATTACCAAAAGAATAGTTGAACTGACGAAGGAAGGATTGAAATATCAAAGGTATAATTGAACTACCAAAGGGATAATTGAACTGAAGAAGGAATGATTAAGACTACCAAAGGATAATCGAATTAACAGAAGAATAATTGAATTACGTAGAATAGAAGTGTCGGCACTGAAGAAATAGGCCCATGGCCTGTTGCCGATTCTTGTTCATAGAATATAATAGAAGTGTCGGCACTGAAGAAATAGGCCCATGGCCTGTTGCCGATTCTTGTACTTTTTGTGCCTTGACAATTGACGAAGAAATGATTGAAATGTCAAAAGAATAAATACTTTCACAACACATTTCTCACCGTTGTTTGAATCAACTGGTTCTTGAGTTACAGTTGAAGTGGACAGCTGTAGGAAGTTTGACCGCAATAGGTTAAAATAAACCCGGTTTTCTAAAGCCTGACCTCAGCAACAAACTCTCATGCCCCTTTGGCACCACGAAATCTCTCTTTATTTACGTTTACTCAAGAATATTGGAGCTCACTGATAATAATTTCTTAGGTTTTCAAGATAATTAGGTGTCATATTTGACAGGTTTCTTTTGTATTGGATCCCTATTGACCACTGAGCACAAGGAACAACTGAGCGGCAGCGACGCGCATACATTCACCACCGAAGTCAGAGCTGCACTGGCGGGTGCCAACCCCGGATCTTGCTAGTCTGCGCTACAATATTGCAATTCACAGAAGAGCTTGAGAAAATCTGCTAGTGAAATTTGCATTCATCACGTAGCTAGTTAAGCATACATTGTTTATTAACCGTTGATAGATCGTAGATTCAGACGATTTAGACTTTACGATCACCTCAGAACTTACGAAACTTATGGAAATCATACAACTTCGTCACAATATAGGATCAACGAACTTGCGATTAACGTACAACTTACGCCCACAATATCGTCTTTCCATTGGTGCTGCTCGAAAATAAATTTTCAAAGTGCGAATGAATTAAATTTAAGTTTGGGATGAAATGAAACAAACTATGTTCATTTTTAAAACTTTTTCCTACATAAATATGACATTGAAAGAATATGCACTTGACTGCAGTATAATACGTGCAGAAAACTCACTCATTAAAAGAACAGAATGTTCCAAGTTTTCAATTTACTCAAACATGCACCCCGACAAGACCACAAGCTAAGTTCAAACAAGGGCTCTATTAGGGATTCCAATAGGACTCCAAACACGGGCCATTTAAGTGACCTAAAATGGACCCCCAACAGGAACTTAACTAATATACCAAAACAAAAATGAATTTCCTTTCATTTTTTGCTGCAGATTTGGTTTAGATTTACATTTGCGTCTCTTAATGGCTCAAAATTTTATTAACTGATTTCTTTCAGCGAAGTATTAACTCTAGATTAGTTAGATTGAATCGGAGATTCTCGCTCCACGGTAACTCACTTCAAAATAATTGCCTACAATTTATAACACGGTGGATTAAATAATCACTCATTACTCATCAAGTTGTAAACTGGAAGCTGCCGTAGAACATACGATCGTCGTACGACTTACGAATGCCGTAAAAACACGATCGTTGATCCCATCACGACTGCCATACGAGTTCTTTAAGTTGCTTGATTTCACTAAGCGCATACAAATGATGTAAGAAATCTGTATAAAAATCTTAATAAAACACAAATTAAAAATGCAACAAATTGAACAATTGGAAAGAAATTAAAGCAAGCAACCTAGGTAAGTCAAGACACCAAAGTGAGTCAAGAAACCGAATTGAGTCAAGACACCTAATTGAGTCAAGACACCAAAGTGAGTCAGGACACAAAATTGAGTCAAGGATCGCAAATTAACCGAAGAGATTCACTAACTCACAGACGCATAGGGCTCATTTTTTCGCGCCGGACTCACCCACGTAAGTGATCCAGCGTGAAAATTTTCTGAGGGTAAATTTACATCCATTTTCACGTACTGAAAAATTGGCACGAAATGGAAGATAAATATTCAAATAATGTTACTAAACAGCCTAACTTTGAAGTAGCCGTCACATTTAATGTCTTAAGTACACTACACATGAGTACATATATGATGAGTTACACGAAGCCATTGAACATGTTCACGTTTACCCTATACTAAATGTATAGACGCTACATATACCATATATTTACAGCTTACAGTTACACAGCAAATGCTCTTCACATCTAAAAACATCTCGAATTTTTATTATTTAAGGACAAAGCTAATTGATAATTACTTCATTTAAATCAGAAGTCATGGGCGCTGAAAAATGTACATAATAATCATTAAATAAAAAAAATGACTAGCTCTAGTAACGTCAGGTTCGGCAATAAATACTTTATTAAAAATACACATTAGCTTGTAACAAAAATAATGTAGTTTACTGCCGTTTCTGTTCATAAAAACACCAATTTATTAAATTTCCATCAATTTCGTTGCTATTTACGAATCCTGTTTACAATACACAGAGAAATCCACCAGCACACAGAACCATTACACCGACGGTTAACCATTAATAATTCCTGTCTAAGAGAACTTCAATACATTTATGATATATAGTGACACTTTTATGAACATAGATGATTAATAGTGATGAGTTTCTGGCTAATGTCTATCGTGGGTCATCGAATTTGTCCAGTCAGTATTCAAGATCACTATTATTAGTAATGCACCATAGTACTACTATTGTAGCTATACAACAGCAGAATTACAGCACTACTGCAGCAGCATTACAGCACTACTGTAGCATTACAGCACTACTGTAGCAGCATTACAGCACTAGTGCGGCCGCTTGTAGCAGCACTACAGCAGTAGTGGGGCCGCTTGTAGCAGCATTACAGCACTAGTGCGGCCGCTTGTAGCAGCATTACAGCACTAGTGCGGCCGCTTGTAGCAGTTCTCGCTGTGGTGGCGCGTGCGTTTGCTGGTGTCGCAGCGGTCGCCGCGCAGGGCGCCGGGACGCAGCAGATCGCGGATGTGCTGAACGATCAGATCGATCGCCACTGAAACAACACAAATTATATATCAATAATTATCTATATATATAATAATTATATATTATTTAATCTACCAGAATTCATAGAAATATGTTTAAATGTCTTAGAATGCTTCTTTGTGTTTATCAATTTTTTAACATAAATAATGAACATTGTAGGAGTTTGTTTCTATTTTTGATTGAGCAAATTTCTTGTGCGCCTGGCAATTAAATTGACGTATCAATATTCAGATTTAGAATTAAATAACAAATTTACGCTTGCTTGAAATTTCTCTCACATGGATTGATAAGAAAAATTAATGATCTGGAGAATTAGAATTTTCGGCCAAGATCAAATCGAGTTCGTACATGTAATTGTAAGTTCAGTTAAGATGTTTACAGATGCGTTGCTTTGATCAAAACCACACTAAATAGGGGCGTAGAGACCAGAATTAGGGTGCGGATTCCAGAAATTGCTATGGGTTAACCTGCAATTCTTTCATATTTATGGTGGTGTACATTTTTAGAATTAAGAAATAGTCATTTCTTCTTCATTTACCGAAAATAAAGCAATAAAAATGCCACTAAGCGATTACCAAAATAGGAAACTAATTATCTTCCTACTTATCATAACTTCAGTACTATATCCTAATTGCCACAACCTGTATATGCCAATTACCAAAGCTCTAGTAAATCTCAATTATCGTAACTTCAATACATTCCAATTATCATTACTCTAGTAAATCCTAATTACCGCAACCTGTATATCCCAATTATCATAACTCCAGTATATTCCAATTGCTATTACTCTAATATATCCTACTTACTACAACCTGTACCTCATAATTACCATAACTCCAGTACATCCAAAGAATCAGCTTCTCTGAAATCAATTTACTCGCAAGCTATTCACTCTGACCCCGCCAGATTTATTATAGTTCATCAGTCTCTTCCATCCTAATTTTCTCGCTTGGATCAAGTCACGTCTTCGTGGTGCATAACAAGCGGATATTTTGCACGTGTAATTTTGTTGTGAATATCCACTGACATGTTGTGAATATCCACTGACATGTGAATATCCACTGGCAATTATGTATGCTGTACATCGACTTCTTCTCTCGGCGATTTCTTGTTATTGAATAAATTGTAGATTAACGCATTGCATCACTTTTTGTTATTGATATTTTAGATGGAATTTCTACCCGACAGTATACGTATTTATTAATCAAGAATCGCTGACATCCAAACCCCCCAAACTAATTAATTGCAATATGATAATTACGCTTTTTATAGACATTTCAACGACGGAAATTACGCTGAACTGTGCGGTTCATCTCACGTCAGAAGATTCCCATTCCCTTTGCTTTGATGTGTACAACAACACAAATAATTCAACTCACACGAGCAATTCAACTCACCATTACAACGCTGTCAGAGATTAAACCTGGCCCTAAAGCTTTCAAATCTCAAACAGATTAACCCTGAATTCTAACCTCTTCATATTTTCATAGGCCTGTTTCCCTGCCATTTCCTTAACTTCCACAACTCAATTTCCGATCCTCTTCACCACATTTAATAATATAATTTTCTCTATCAATTCTCTGTATCATTTAAACTCACGTTAAACCGTAGGCGTGTAAATTCCAAGCCAGAAAAAAAATTACGAAAATGTTGCTCAAAAATAGGACTAAAATAAAAATTCAGTTGTTAACAAAATTATCGAAACGTATTTGCCATTTTCTTAAATCCATAAATAAATTGAGGAAAAAAATAAAAAGCAAGAGTACTGCAAAAACTTGGCAGACAGGCACACAGAATGTCATTTATTCTCATACAATATAACAAAACCAATCGTATAACGTATAAGGTACAATAGTTATTAAAACATAGCATTGTTATTTAGCAGCATGACATCAACTTTAAACTCAACTCAAACATGTTCCCAACTTTAAACTTGAATCAAACACGTTGGCAACTATAAACTCAACTCAAACATATTCCCAACTTTAAACTTGAATAAAAAATGACACGAACTTTAAACTTGACTCAAACTTGTTCCCAACTTTAAACTCGAATCAAACATATTCCCGACTTCAAACTTGAATCATACATATTGCCAACTTTAAACTTGAATCAAACATTACACCAACTTTAAACTTGAGTCAAACATGTTACCGACTTGGTTTCAAAAGTTTACATACAATCCCTGAAGTTCATCACAGAACAATAGATTACAAAAACAACTTCTTCGTAGCAGTTGCGTGGCGACGAGCGACGTGCATGCGTATCAAGAACCCAGATGCGTATACCTACGAACCAAACAGAGTATACACACCAATTAATAGACATCTATAACAACTAACTAAGATACACATAACAATGAACTCCAATGCGTATTACAACAAAACAAGATACGTACGTATAACAACATACCAAAATACGTATAACAACGTACCAAGATACGTATAACAACGTACCAAGATGCGTATACCGACGAACATAGATACGTAAAACAATGAACCACGATGCGTATACCGACGAACCAAGAAACGTATACCGACGAACATAGATACGTAAAACAATGTACCAAGATACAAGATATACCTACGACGCTACGAACACAGATACGTAAAACAATGAGCCATGATGCGTATACCGACATACCATGATACGTATAACAAATAAACCCCAGTGCCTATAACAATTAACTACGGTGCGTATAAGTGAACGATATTCGTGTGCGTGACGATGATGTACGTGAGCAGAAATAAGAAGCGCACATATAATGCAGGAATGTGATAAAAAGCGTGGAAGAAATAGAACGGGCGAGCGTGAATGGAGGAATAGTGGATAAGGCAAGCTAGAGGGGACAATAAAAAAATTAAACGAGAAAATTTAATAGTCGCACACATTGCGGCTTTCAGAAACCCACACATGTTAATAAGAACATCATCATTTAGACAAAGTTTCCCTCGATTTTATGAGTGAATATTGCGCGAACGTCGACTGACGGAGTAAAATAATAAACAGAATAATTATTATTTATTATTAAATACAGAAAAGTTACACAACTAATCCGATTACGTACACACATAAAGCTTGGACACATACAAAATTTCAATGTAGTTTTGCCAGTGTGTGTGTCAACCTGACCCAGTTTGGTACCAGCAACAAATGGGTATCAGTATCACGTAAAGAAAGTACCACTATTTGGGCAGTGTAACCTATTCGTTTTCTGAGTGTTTAATAAACATTAATGAAAACACACCAAAACATCAATAACACAAACATACATCGACAGCATGCACACAAATAACACAAAAAAACACCAGAAGCATGCACACAAATAACACACACAGCAACTATGGCAAGATAGCTGACATTAACAATAACAACAAAGTCTTATGATTAACGCAACAAATTAACATGAGGCGTGTGCTTTGAATTGAGCTACGTGCGTTAGGTATTAAAGCTAGATAGGAGATTACAGTGATAAGGACAAGATAACCATTAATTAGGGAGATTCCATTTATAAGGACATCATAACAATTAATTCAGGAGATTACAATAATAACGACAAGATAACAATCATCTTTGCATCTTGTAATTTTTTTATTTTTGTATCTTTTAATTCTTTGTGGCAAGTATCGGCAACATATCTTTCCAAGGCCGCTAAGTTCTGCTACAACGTCTGGCATATGACGAGAAGTTACGACACGTTCAGTGACGCGTTGTCTTCATTTGTAGTGGAATAAACTAGTGGCGGCCACTAGTGACTGTTGCTCATGAAGGACAGTAGCTGGTGACGGCCACTACTAGTGGCGGCCACTAGCTAGTGACGGATACTAGTCAGTGACGACCACTAGCTAGTGACAGCAACCAGTGACTGTTGCTGGTGACGGCCACTACTAGTGGCGGCCACTAGCTAATCCCCCCTCAATGAGGGACACAAGCGACGGTCTCAGGAGACGAGCGATCCCCGTGGTCCCCTCGGGACCCCCCCGCCGAGGGGCTGTTGCCCCCCGCTGAGGGAGACAGCACTGGGGGGCCACAGCAGCTGCTCTGGCGGATGACCTCGTCGAGGGTTCCCTCTGATGTGAGGGTGCGGGGGGCGCTGTGGGGGTGACCCCCGCGGGGGGGCTCAACATGGCAACGGTGCAGGAGGTGCACATGGCAACGGTGCAGGAGGTGTACATGGCAACGGTGCAGGAGGTGCACATGGACAAGAAGGAGGCAAAGGAGAAATCAATTTTAAAAAGCAACACAAAATAAAAAAAATGTTAAGGCTCGCCAATCAGAGGCAGAGAACCAATCTTAAGAAGCATTGCAAATAAATAAAACATAAACACAAATTTTAAAAACGAGTCAAAATCAAATACTCTGACAATCATCTCTACGCTCGCCACGTATAAATGAATGAGTCACATGTTCAAATACTGACACACTTCTTGCACTTCTTAACCATTGGTGCTGCGTAACTGGGTCAGGATGACTCACTCAAGGGTTAAAAGTGTGTCCCTGTTTGGACAAAGTCTCACTCATTTCCCAGAGTGTATGAGTCTCATTTGTGAAAATATTTTTCCCAGAGTCTCATTTATGGAAAAATTGCACTATTGTGCTCGTCATGTCCGTCTGTCCGTCCGTCCGTGACCTCAAGTTTTCGTCGACAAAAAAATGCGCTCTCTGTCACTCACTGCAGTGAGTACCCGTACTGAGTTATATTTTTTGTACTCATGTGGGTCCTGGTGACCCAGTTTGGCCAGGCAATAGGGTGCATCAGTGCTACGTGGTGAGGTTAAGGAAGCGTGTCATTATCTGTACAACATGACCCAGGCATTTATATGAGCGGAGTGTGCGCCATTCCAGCAACGTAAGGCCAGCGCGAGAGGAAATACTTCCACAAACTTGAAAATTTAATTAAAAAAGTGAATAAAAAATAAAGATCAAAGTCAAGCAAATATTGATGGCAGTCATGCATTATATAAAGAAGAGGATGAAGAAAAAATTAAAACGTCATCCCAAAGAAAAATATATGGAATGTATAATTCATAAAGAATAAGAGCAAAATCAATCGTAGAAAAATTATGAGAAAAAAACATAAATTGCATACAAAAAATTGCACATCAAAAAAAAAACATAAAAAGCTTTAGAACAAAAAAAAACAAAGAGGCGTTCATAGGCCTAGCAAGGCTCAAAATAAACACAAGCAACTGACCGGTGTTCTCAGCGCCGCGGGGAATGATGACGTCAGCAAACTTTTTCGTCTGCAGAAACAAGTTCAACGTTTAAATAATTCAACATTTTTCCACAATTTAATAATTCAAGTGTGTAATTAAAATAAAAAATAAAGTATACAGTAAATAAATAGGTCAACTACAGCTCAACATCAGTATATTTGAACAACTTTATTATATTTATTAAATAAGCATATGTTTAATATGTTTTTTTTTATATATTTTGGACTCAATTAATCGAGTCCAAATTATTTAAATAAATATATTACAAGTTAACATCAGCATACCGTACTGCTGCAGCTCAGTTATATATATCCGATATATTACAGAAATATATGTTAAATGAATATGAAATATTAATTTTATTTCACATATATACATTATTACAACATTCCAGTGCGCACCGTAATAACTAAGATTCTCAAGATGTATAAGTAGATTACAGTAGATGAAACGAGGTGAAAAATGCTAAAATGTGAGGTAGACTGGAGCACGTAGAAAGTGGTAGACGCAGCACTGACAGGTAGACAGAACTAGCTAATGTGTGAGGTAGACTGGATTAAATAATTAGTGGTAGACAGGGGTAGACGCGGCACTGGCAGGTAGACAACTATCTAATATAAGGTAGACGGTACTGAACAATAAGAGGTAGACAGAGGTAGACAGAGGTAGACACAGCACTGACAGGTAGACAGAGGTAGTTAATATGTGAGGTAAACTGGATTAAATAATTGGTGGTAGACAGAGGTAGACGCAGCACTGACAGGTAGACAGAGGTAGTTATTATGTGAGGTAAACTGGATTAAATAATTATTGGTAGACGCAGCACTGACAGGTAGACAGAACTATCTAATATAAGGTAGACGTTACTGAACAATCAGTGGTAGACAGAAGTAGACGCAGCACTGACAGGTAGACAGAGGTAGTTAATATGTAAGGTACATAGTGGATTAAAGAATCAGTGGTAGACAGAGGTAGAGGCAGCACTGACAGGTAGACAGAACTCCTCGAAGGCAGGCTTCACCAGCCTAGTGTACTGGTGCAGGACCGTCTCTAGGTTGCGCCCGCGCTCCCGCGTGTCACGCATCACTGCCNACAGGTAGACAGAACTCCTCGAAGGCAGGCTTCACCAGCCTAGTGTACTGGTGCAGGACCGTCTCTAGGTTGCGGCCTCGCTCCCGCGTGTCACGCATCACTGCCGAATATTTGTTGTTAGAAGTGGTCCAATAGATGCAATGATAGCTTCAGCGCCGAATATTTATTGTTAGAAGTGATAAAATGGCTACAATGATGATTTAACTGTCCAACATTTATTGTTAAAGAGCAGATACAATAATATCTTTGATTAAATCCTCAAATAAATGGAATGAATTACAATCAAGTTTTTCCAATTCACTAACCAAAATAATGCAAAAAATAAATAAAGTCAGGTTAGGAAGTTTTTTGGTTTTAATAGTTTTGTTTGTCTTAAAATTTGTTCAAAGTTCTGCCACGTCATTGATTAATTAAATTGCAACATCATTAAAAAATTTCCATGGTAGTTAGTTTTTCCAAAATTGAAACAATGTTGGCAAGATAATTTTACTAAGAAATCTAAAATGATGTTACTGATAATTTCTGTCAACTCCCACAAATAAGTATGATCAAATTCCATCAACAAAGATAATGTCTCAAACTTAACTGGTCTGCCTTTCCAAGTTCCTCACAGCCTGGTCAGTAAAGTCTACTTAATTATGATACAATAAAATAAAATTTCATAGGAGGCAAATATTAAACTTAGAAAAAAAAGCAACATATCTCAATTTCAAGACAGAAAGTAGGCCCCACAACCTTAATTACTGTACAAAATTTGAGCAAATATTAGCAAGCGATGCTGACCTCGTCGGGCTAGTCTGGTGTCAGCGTCGGAGTCGACAAAAAGCTTCATGTGGAACATGTCGCGTATTTCCTTCTGGTAGAACATGAGGATGCCTTCAAACAGCACCACATCCGCTGGGTAGATGTCTGTGGTTGTTGATAACCTGGGAAAATATTTCAACATTTCTTGCCTGTTGATAATTGATTCAAAGCCAGATACAAATTTTGGCCTCAGTAAAACCTAAAGTGGAATTAACTATGTATAATCTAATCACATATTATTTAGCCATGCTAAATTAATCAAACTTCCATTGGAAACAAATAAATGGTGGACTCAAACGTGTGTAATAGTAACCAGATTTGTGAGATCAGTACTTTAGGACTAATTTTTCTATTTTAACAACAAATTCATAAACCACAAATTACACAGAAAAAAAGCATTTAATAATGATGAGGTTTTGAAGTGATGCTATTTAATCCCTTGAACAAACTACTAGCACCACTATTTCAATAATTTGAAACCAAACAATGAAATCATTAACCACCCAGTTAGAAATATCTAGAAATTAAATTCCTCTTCATTAATAAACACTAAAATTAAATGACCTCCGGTAACAATATCACTCACCTAGAATTGGTCTTGAAATCATAGTTGGGAATCTTGCAGATCTGTCCAGCCTTAATTTTCTCTAGAGTTTCAAGCACAAGGTCCGTGTCAAATGCCTCAGGATGGTCAAAATTGAAGGACCCCTGAGGAATAGAAATTATAACTTCAAAATAATCAATCATGATACAAAAAAGATGCATAAATATCTATTTCAGGGCAGTAGAGATAGGTATATATTGAAATTCATCTGATTTGACGCACAACCAGAGTAATAATAACAACTTAAACTTACACAGGAGTAACTGCTGATATGAAAACAATGCAGATCAAGATATTACACACTTATTATCCATTTGAGTGCCTAGATTATTAATAGAAAAACATGCAAACGTATATATTTATATATGCTCAAGCAGCCAATTATAACTTTTATACATACTCCTCTAACCTAAGTCAATCATCTTTTTACTTCAATCAGTTGCCATCAATGAAAATATTTTAAAACAAGTGAATTTCAACATTTAATCAACCAAAAATATTATTGCAGGTACTTTTAATGCTTTGGCAGATTCCTCTTCATTGAGTTCCCTGTAGAAGGCGTCCTGTGATATGCAAACTACCCGTCGCTGTTTGTCATCGATATTGTCTTGGCCAAGCTTCTCCATTATCCTCTTGCAGACGGTTGACTGCAAAACATTTATGAGACATTAACAATAGTGGCAAGGGAGTGGCAAGCAAGTGGCAAGCAAGTGGCAAGAGAGCGCCATGACTGAGAGTGGCAAGAAAGCGCCATGAGAGCGGCAAGAGAGTGGCAAGAGAGTGGCTAGAGAGTGGCTAGAGAGTGCCAAGAGAGTGGCTAGAGAGTGCCAAGAGAGTGGCAAGAGAGTGGCTAGACAGAATGTTTTTGGTGCCATTCCTCAGGTTCAGTTTTGAGTCCTATATATAGACCAGTTTAGTGATTATGGTATTATGGATACCAGCATCATCATAAATAAGATTTAAACTTAATGATTTAAACCTTGAATAGATGAGCACATAAAAATTAACTATTTTTTTTAAATCTCAGCCTCTCAGGTTAAACCTAATGTTAATAATAAATAAAATCAATAATAATCTCAGCCTCTCAGGTTAAACATAAGGTTAATAATAAATAAAATCAATAATAACAGTCAATGCATATTTTCCTGCAAGTTTTATATATGAAGTCAAGATTCAACAAAATACTTCTGAAATAATAAAAAAAGTAACCAAATGTGAAAAAAAATGTTGTGGTTAAATAGCTTCCATAGCAGTAGAAGAATAGAAAATATATATGCAGACATTCAAATTTTTTATGCTAGTTACAATTTTGAAATATATTTATTCCTGATAGCCTAATTTTTAAATATTTGGCATAGGTGAGGCTGAGGCAAAATAATAGTTAATGGTTAGGATCTAACCTAAACATGGTTAGAAATTCTGAACTGGAAAATTCTACAAAACTCGTTCCACAAAAGCCATCCATCAATTAAAATGGACAAAAAATCATAACCCATGCTTGTGGATAAATTTCATTTGTTCATGCAACCATTATGATGATGCAACCCTTCACTGTTACTCTTGCACAATTTCTTTTGCAAAAATTTGAAGAAAAAAAAAATTAGCCACAATTTTGAAAAATAATTTTTAAAACAATATTTCAATCATTTTAATTATTTTTACATATGCCTGAAAATTTAGAATTTTAGGCTAATTTTGCCAGTTAGGCCTAGGCTATTGCTATTCCTGATTGGGTGAGAACTGAGAAGGCTTAAATCCTTTTATATCATGCAAAATTGTTATTATTAAAATAGTAAGAAAATCATTCTAACTTCAAATCTGCTTCAATATCATGTCACATTATAATTATTAGTAAAATAGAGACCTCATTTTTGATAAACTTGAATGAAGTTGAAACCTTCCATCCCATTCCCAGCTGCTAGCCTACCACTACCAGCCTACCTACTACCTAGCTAGCCTAACTAGCTACTCTATGGTGCAGTACAGTAGTTCCAGCAATAAATAAGAACAAAATTAAATTTACATGGGAGTTTTACTGGCTCTAAAAATGTCTATTTACATATTGAGAATTAGAAATTCCCTAAACACAAGGCTTGCTGTTGTCTCGCGGTCTCGCCTCTATAGCCATTGGGAGGGAATTGTTTGGAAAATAAACAAATAATGGGCTGTAACTAACCTTGCCAGAAGCAGTACCTCCAGCAACACCTATCAAGAATGGAGGTTTTGGAACAGTTTCATTAGCAGACCCATTTTTCATCAGATGACCATTCATTTTGGCGATGTGATTTGACCAACGGGTAACTCGTGGTAGCGGCGTGAAGCTGAAGAGCCGCATGAAGTTCGCTCACTTGGTGAGCGCAGCACACGCACAAATGCCATCTTCCACGCATTCGGGACTTTCGGGTACGGAAACTGTTGGAGAAATGGTTCCATTTAGTTAGCCCTTTTTTTGGGCATCGGATAAGCCAAAAGTTATCCAAATCTTCTTCTGATAATTCTGGGTTTACGACCACTTTTATTGATTCCGTGACTCATATGCAAAATTTGGATCTTATTCATGAAGCTTTATATTATTTATATTATATAGCTAAATAGATTACGTTGTGATTTATGGCTCAATTTCCCTAATGTTGCAAAATTTAATATTTATCGCAAAGGATTTCTTACACTGACTGAAATTTTAATAAATGTTGCTCCACATGCAGGAGGTTGAAAAACATGCATACCAACCATGCATACACAATACGTACTGGATTTGCATAATGCCGACAATACCGATACATCTTTTTCAAAATTCAGTTCTTAGAAACTTTTTCTAACAGACACGGTTGTTTTTAGACTTTAATTTTTGACCTCGTGCCATGAGACGTAAGATCGATACCTTCATCTACCAAACGTAGAATACAAACTCAAAAATTTTAATTTTCTCCATCCTATCATGTCATGAACATTCAAATGAATGTTTCATTTTCGACCACATTATACTATACAATCTCGAGCAGGTTTCTGATTTGCTTCTTAATATTAGTTTTAATAGAATAGAGGAGGACCAGTATTATTTACTAAGTTTGTTTCAGACATATTGATTCCATTAGATATAAGTCCGAAAAATACGGTCAAATTGATCGATCATTCCACCACAATCATTCAATCATCAGAATAAATTTTGAAGCAATGGTTTTATCTCTGAATGGTTGTTTTTCTCTTCCCTACATGAAACAATCTGCATCCTACTGAACACGGTCTTCGAAAGAATATGATTTAAATTTTGCAATTCATTTACATTATTCCTAACCTTTTACTTCAGCTATAGTATTTGTAAGTCATAATGTTTATTCATGAGAATAAGTTCCGCTTTTGGAGTCAAGGAGCGATGTAGGAGGTTTAGGGGTTGGCCAAATGTCCAAGTTGTCGTACACTCCAAAACTCTCTAGAGATGCAGCTTCCAGCCTTAGTCTCGCTGACATCACTGAAAGTAGCGATTGCTTTCGTGCCTTGTCTTCTTTTTTTTTTATAAATTTCAACATTAACTGCGATGCAGATTTTACTGTGTAATGCAATAACAATTATGGGAACGAGTGATTTATAAACCATGGGTCGTGTGGAACTAACCATAAATCTTCAATTCGTGTTGTATATGGAGCTTTTAACTCCGTGTTTGTCGTAACAAAATAATCAATTTATTTTTACTTTTGATGCACCGAATATAAAATTTATAAAACAGCTGTTTTATTTTTTTCTTCAAGGTATTTTTATCAATAAAAATTTGAGTTCTCCTCATTTGATTCGCAGATCCCATGAACCTATCTTGACGGTAGGTCTGTGAAAAAGTCTCGGGATAAATAAATTTTATAATTATTTTAATATATGTATGTATGTATATCTGTAATTTTTATTATACCAATGTATTTTTTATTAAACCAATGTATAAACATGTATGTATGTATATCTGTAATTTTATTAAACACTTTTTTTAATAATAAAATAAATAAATGCACATGCCTCACACAATTAATTCATTTATTAAGATCATATATATACTTTATTTCCAATATATACATTGAACTGTTATCAACGCCATAGTCTGAGCTAAAACACCTCTATAAAATCTCACATTTTTATCTTTCAGGTATAAAATTTCTAACTTCAAGCATGGCGTCAAATATGCAATGAAGAATAGTAAGATATTTTCATGAAATGTTGAGGAAAGAAAGATTTAATGAAAGAACATCGCAGCCCTGAACGCGTGATGTGTGAGAGAGCAGGTTTACCCCCAGCCCATACGAGGTTATGAGTATAATACTCATACGTAATTCAGATGAATTTATCCATCAACGAAGGAGAAATAAGGCTATCATCAAAAAATGTTGACTACCAAAAATTCAGCAAGCCAAATATTCTCGACGGCAATGCAAGTAGGATGAGAAACAGCAAGAAAATTACAAAAGAAAATGTTTCATCTAATTCCAAGAAGGCAACTTTTAACGAAACAAAAAGAAATGTTAAAACCACGAAAAAACGCAATCAAAATAAAACTACTCCAGAAAACGTCGTAAGTTCTTTCAGTATCACAGCTGACAAAATTCTGCCGATTTCAGTTAAATTACCTCGGAATAAAGCAGAAAACTCGTCGAATGAAACGTTTTGCGGAAATTTCGATGTCCTCAACGAAGCCTTAAATTGGAATTCGGACGCTGGATGGAGTGACTCGTCAAGCGCTTCGTCCGAATCCACTGGAGATTCTTCTGGGTCCGAGACCTCTGACTTCTGCCCGCAAGATGAATATGAATCCAAAGAAATTGAGAGTGAGCTTCGTGACATTTTTCTGTCATTATCAATTATATAAAATCAACATCAATGTCTAAATTTGTGAAATGAATTGTAATCCAGAAAAAAATGTCAGTGACTTGTTTTAAAGTTTAGGCGTGAAATTTCACGCCAATATAAATGTAATAAAATTTTATGAAAAATATTGAAATTTTTGCAAAAGAATTCTAGTTGAATTCATATTTTTGTACATCATTATTTAAAATAGATCCATTATTGCATTCAATATTAAGGGTCTAAAACTATACTAAATTTATTATAAAATAGCTTTGAATTTCTAGCCGATAAGTATAATTATTACACTGAACTCTGTTCGTATTATTAAATTTAAAGAATTTTATCGCTTAATTCTGTTCCTGTAGTAGAATATTTCTTGTAATAATATTATAATATTATTAATTGATAATTTCTTCCAATGCAGACCATTTCTTCGACGAAGTTTGTATTGGTGGCAACAGCGAAGTTTGCAACAGAAACGTCAACAGGGCGGCAACCTCAGCCGGCAACAGCGGCAACAGGACAACGTTTTCCTTCAACAACGTCAACCTCGAGGCGCAGGTCAACATTTTGATTCAACTCAAACACTATAATTATAAGAATTATGTATATCATTTGGATTATTATTATTATCATTATTATTATTATTATTTTAATTATACCCATTATTATTGTTATTGTCATTCTTATTATTATTATTATTATCATTATTATGATCATTATCATAACCTATTATTTATTAGTTCTATCACTATCAAAAATACAACTTCGTAAACATTTTATTTCTTCAGAAATTGCATCTATTATCTTGACTAATAACTTCTTTTACGTTGGCTTCATCGTTTCGGTATATAACCGTTAACAATGTTTTTCAACCATACAATATAATAAAGTACTCGTATATCGGGCTCGCCAACGCAATCCACGTTGCTACGCCGCCATGTTTATGGCACACTCGCGCCCAACATTACTCTTTCGTTACCCCACGTTTGGATGTTATGGTGACAATGGAGAAAGAAAGAGCAAAGCGGAAATGATTAAGCTATTGCCAAAAACTCCATCCTTCAGCGAGAGACTGGTATTTAAGAAAATTGTTCGACACTAACGATGTTGATCCCTACGAAGTACCGGCAAAGCAGAGGTGTTCAGATTTTGCAAGCCTGCCTCCCGTTTCACACGGTGATTTACTTCACTATTTGGTGTTTGGTGTCAGCCAAAACACCTTGCAAAAATTCAAGGCATTCAAGACGCTTGAAGCTTACAAGCAATTTGTGGATGAATGAATTCAGGAGATATACACCCAAGGCCTGTAAACTGCAACAACACTGTCATTGCTGACAAGATGAGGATAATGGATCATGGCAAAGTAATCTGAGTAATCAAGTACCCAGATTTTGCCCCTGAAAAATATAAAGTATCGTGTATCATAAATATTCATGACTGGTAAACTGATATACGATACGTATATCAAGAATTTAAAAGCAAAGAAAACGGCAAAAAAAATCACTATCTCTTAAGAATGAAAATTTTCGTAGTCCAACTCCATCGTCAGTTCAATGTTTCAAAACCTATAAAACAAGCAGAATCAATTTGAAAACTAAAATTCACATTGAAGATAAAAACCTAAATTGACGAAAGAAAAAACAAATTCACACGAAGTGATAGGCCTATCTATTTACAGTTTCATGGAAGCTGAAGGCTGCATTTAAACTAGGTATCTGCTTTAAAATATACCGAGATTCTAAAATTAGTAGGTCAGTAACACCGGTCGTGAAACCTAGATCTCTAAAATCATTATCTGACACCGGAACATTGCACTGCTCGGCATGGATGCGCACAGCTGAATGAGGAGGATGCGCAAGTAATGTTTCCGTGCTAAAACTTCTGCCCTTATGCTCTGCCAGTCTAGTATAAAAATTGCGAGATGTCATACCGACGTACGCTGATGCGCACTGCTTTCGAAAGCCGTCATTGCTCGATAAATTCCATAAATTTTTTGTAAAATTCAATTTTTAAAGAATTTTTTCGATAAATTTCATTATTTTATAATTACAATTCATAATTTCATTTAACGTGGAATTAATTTGTTTTATTCCCAGGTTCCGGCCCCTCGGAGACGAGCAGCAAGAAGAGGTTCAGGCTCATGGTTGCTGCTCGGCGTAGTTCTGCTCATCGGCCTGCTGGCTCTGCTCACTCTCTCACAGGTTCTTATTCCTGCATCTTACGTCGTCACTATTTTGATCCTAAAATATCCTTATTTTTTTATTTATCTTCAAAAATAGATCCTAATATACATGCTACGTCATATATTCTTCATACTACTTCATATATAAGTAATACTGATTCATGTATGCCAAATACTACTTCTTTATACACGTGCGATTGATGACCAGAGAATTAGTTGATTTATCTAATTCTCTGGTCATCAATCGCACGTATATAAACAATTAAATTGTGCCATCTAATACTAATTTCTATTACTACTTCATATATATTTAATACTACTTCATATATACTTAATACTACTTTATACATATACACTTTATACTACTTCATATATACTACACATCCAACATAGACACAGAAATTCTACTAAAAAGAACAAATGCGTTTTATTTCTCGGTAGAACATATCGGGTGGACCGCGTGGCAGATATAACCAAAATTGGAGCTGCGAGTTGGGGGTTCGAAACCCACTACTAGTTTTTAAAATTTTGGTCAAAGTCGGCAAGGTGGACGTGTGGCGACAGGCCAAGATGGCATAATTAAAATTAAAATATAAACCTATGATCAACACTATATAAATCAAGACAAATAGAGAAAAGCAATAAAGTATAACCTCAATCACTCACTAAATAATTGCAAATTTCTTGCAGGTGGTTCTAGTAGAAAACAAAGTTCTAGACCAGCTGGGGCCTGATCAGCTGAGACCTGCCATGCCCCCCGGGGTCGGTCGCGCCCTACAGAGACTCCTGAGGGGGAGCGGCGCCCCGGGGGGGTGGGGTGCTACCCAAGGGGGCTGGGGTGCTACCCAAGGGGGGGAGCTGCAGTTCAGCAGAGCAGTGCCTCTGATGAGACGAAAACCTCCGTCGGTTGAGGTGGAATTTTATATAAATGTTTCTAAAAAAGTATGCATTTTTTCTCCCGTTTTGTTGCTCTTTTATTGATCTTGTAGTCCTAATATTTCTATTTATGATATATTTGCGTGATGATTTTTTTTACATTTTCTGAAATAACATGCATTTTTTTCTAATATTTTGTTAGTTTTTTGTTTATCTTGTAGACCAAGTTTGGTATTTATAAATATTTTGTGCCTGTGTTATTTTTAATCATATATACCCCGTTTTTTTTCTGTTTACTTAATCTTACGATCAATGTTTGGTAGTTATAACTTATTTTTTTATTATGATGGCATTATGGTGAAGGTATATAGTCTTACTCATTCATGAGTGCGACATATTTCAGTTATTATGTATTTGTTTTACGGTAAGCTGCAGTCCAATTGACATTTTTTTCAGCTATAATGATACATAAAGAAAATGGAAAAATGTTGTTATACTATAAATCCCAGTGTATGTGCGAGAAATAGAAGCGTTAACTGGATCTAATTAATGTTTAGATAAATTTTTATTTGGGCATGTGCACCAATCAAAGAAAACGACAAAGTCTACGGATGTTGCTTCTAACATTTAAGTATCTTTTCCGAAGCCTGGTGGACACATGTTCATAAATTCATCAATTTCAATGCATTTTCCAAAGTTTAGCATAACCTTAAAAGCTGAAAATTATATAGAGAGTCGAATTTATGCATCTTATTCAATAAATTAACCTATTTATATACAATTTAACTCTCTAGTTCGAGTTATACGGACGCGTATATACGATTGTAATACTCTCTTCATAGAAGTAGTTTTCAACTTATCATATTTATAGCAGGTTAGGTTTTCATTCTTTGCTCATTGTTTAACAATTTATTTATATTTTTCTAACGAGCAAAGTTCACAGGTGACCGTGGGCCGCACTGTTCTCAAGAGGTTATCCCTCCAGATTGCAGAAATCATTTTAGAAGAATCTTTATCAATCTACAACAATAGGAACAAAATTCTACAGCAAGAGGAAGAAATGGAGAAGGTGATCAAGAGGGAGAACTGTGATGAAAGTTTAGTGAAAAATAGAATGGAAGAAAACAGATGCACGGAAAGTAAAGTGAGAAGTCAACGAAATGTGAATATTTTAAAAGAAAATACAAAATTGAGCATGTTCGTCAGAAAAGAAGAAAATTCAAATAAAATTATCGACGAAGTGAACGAAAAAGAAAGTGATAATATCAATGAGGAAAAGAAACACATTCATAACTCAATATATACAGAAACTATTAATGATAGAATGCACAGCGTAGCAATTAGTCCACGTGGGAACACTCACCTACGGAAGAACGGGTCTAATGAAAATAATGATAATGGTAATAGTGAAGTTAATAATAATAATGTTAGTGTAAAGAAGTCTATGCTCAAGAACAGCCTAGTAGGGAATAGAATTCTTACTGTGGGTATAGACAAAACATCAGATAATTTACCGAAGAAATCTTCGCTGGATAGAAGAAAAACTCTGTTGGAGAAAGGTGACGGAAGAAAGTGTGAAAGTGAAAGTGAATGTGGACATGTATCTGAGGGTGATAAAAGTACGAAACTGGGAAAACCAATTAATTCAGTTTCGGATGAAAGGGAAACTAATAAAATAAGTTCAGTGAAAGTTGAACCCAACTATTCCGATCTCCTGGACCAGAATAGTTTCAGAATTGAAAGTGTGAATAACCTGCTGATACCGCCACAAGGAGATACGGCTGCTGCAGAAAATGAAGAAACTGGCTATATGAATAATTCATTCAGTGAAATTTATTACTCACAATTTTCGGACAGTGATGAGGAAATTCCCATTTATTTCGAGGAAGATGACCAATTACTCAAAATTTTGAACGCGAGTTCAATTTTTGGAAGATTTCCGCCAGATATACGGGCATTGGAAAGACATCAGTTCCCGAACATAATTGACCCGGAACAGAAAACCTATGAAGATTTGAATTCTGTTTACAAAAAATTTTTGGGACCCGGAGAAAATGTGGCATTGGACCCCATTAGAGAAATGGAAAATAGATTCCAAGTTCCAGATAAATTGCCTGTAAAAATGAGTAAAATGGAAAAAGAAAATATGAGGCCTCATAGGCGCTTAGCTCAAAAACCGCATTTGAAAGAAATAGCTAGAAACGAAAAGTCACGTTCTTCGAAAAAAATTTCCCTAACAAAAAGTAAAATGAGAGCCTCTGATGCTAAAAACGATTCATGGGAGGCGTATAACGGACTTAAAAAGGCGCAAGCCTCCAAAGAAAAACTTTACACAAATAATTTATTGAGAAATTATTCACATAATCAACAGAAAAATCATTTGAAGGACTCAACCACAACACTCCACTTCACAAAGCCAGCAAAAGAAAACAAAGAAACTGTCACAGAAAACGGCGGCAGCCAACAAAGACTCGTGACCCTGTGCCCTTTGGTCCCTCCAAGCCTTCGTGAGTTTTCTGTAAATATAAGGAAGAGTAAAGAAAATGTATTTTATGGGGGACTAATTTAAAGAAATTCCGATCAAATGAGGAAAATAACATATGAGAAGTTGATATTTTTTAATAAATCGGGAATTTTTTTAATAAATTGGGTGTAAAAGTTTCGATTTTCAATGTGAAACAGAAGTTAGGAACTACTCATTTATCAGAATAATTTAATCATATACGATGATATTTAGAGAAACTTGAAAAAATTTATTTCCTCAATAAATCTGATTTTTTTTAAAGATGCTATATTCAACAAGAAAGAAAGAAACAATTGAAAAATTGTAAAAATATTACATTGGAACTTGAATCGTATAACAGGACGAGTATTAAGCTAAAATAAATGTATGCGTATTGACGTATTGACTATTAACATTTCATTTAAATACAGACTGAATGTTTATATTCTGTTTATCGTACTTTAGACGTAATTAAATCTTGCAGAAATAATTTGACGTAACCCCAAAATCAAATTTTACTTCTATTGTCGTGTGTAATAAATTTATGCTCTGAACACAACTAAAATATTTTGTTCATAAATAAAAATATATAAATCAAAATAATTTAGATCGTATATAAGTACTTATATCATTAGTCTGCTTATATCGCAAGTTCACAAGGAATTTAAAAGCAAAGAAAACGCCAAGAAAATTCACCATATCGATATTGAAAACGTTTCGGAGTCCAGAAACCAGCAGCTCGCTTACACCATCTACGTCGCTGAACAGGTGAGTAGTGAGTGAGTAATGGGTGAGTAAAAAATGCGTGAGTAATGCTAGGATCAGGTGAGTTATGCTGGTAATGAGTGAGTAATGGGTGAGTAATGCTTGGATAAGGCGAGTCAGAGGTGAGTAATGCTTGGATCAGGCGAGTCAGAGGTTAATTAGTGAGTAATGGGTGAGTAATGCTTGGATCAGGCGAGTCAGAGGTGAGTAATGAGTGAGTAATGGGTGAGTAATGAGTGAGTAATGGGTGAGTAATGGGTGAGTAATGTTAGGATCTGGTGAGTCAGAGGTGAGTAATGAGTGAGTAATGCTAGGATCATGTGAGTAATGAGTGAGTAATGCTAGGATCATGTGAGTAATGCAGGTAATGAGTGAGTAATATATAGAGAAGTGAGTGATGATGAGAAAGAGGTGATGACGTTATGAACAGTTGAGTAACTTTATTATAAGAGGTGATTTATACCTACATAACGATAAACAGGTGTTTATCCTTATAAATAGGTAATTAATGGCAGGAATGAGGTGATTAACGCTTGAAACTGGTGAGGTACGTTTGAGACAGGCGAGTAATGACGGGGAAAGAGATGAGTAATATTAGGTTTGGTGAGTAACGTTAGAAACAAGAGAGTAATTACGTGAAAGATGTGAAGAACATCATGAACAGGTGAATAACAGAGAGGACGTCAAGAACAGGTGAATAACAGAGAGAACATCACGAACAGGTGAATAACAGAGAGAACATCACGAACAGGGGAATAACAGAGAGAACATCACGAACAGGTGAATAACAGAGAGAACATCACGAACAGGTGAATAACAGAGAGAACATCACGAACAGGTGAATAACAGAGAGAACATCACGAACAGGTGAATAACAGAGAGAACATCACGAACAGGTGAATAACAGAGAGAACATCACGAACAGGTGAATAACAGAGAGAACATCACGAACAGGTGAATAACAGAGAGAACATCACGAACAGGTGAATAACAGAGAGAACATCACGAACAGGTGAATAACAGAGAGAACATCACGAACAGGTGAATAACAGAGAGAACATCACGAACAGGTGAATAACAGAGAGAACATCACGAACAGGTGAATAACAGAGAGAACATCACGAACAGGTGAATAACAGAGAGAACATCACGAACAGGTGAATAACAGAGAGAACATCACGAACAGGTGAATAACAGAGAGAACATCACGAACAGGTGAATAACAGAGAGAACATCACGAACAGGTGAATAACAGAGAGAACATCACGAACAGGTGAATAACAGAGAGAACATCACGAACAGGTGAATAACAGAGAGAACATCACGAACAGGTGAATAACAGAGAGAACATCACGAACAGGTGAATAACAGAGAGAACATCACGAACAGGTGAATAACAGAGAGAACATCACGAACAGGTGAATAACAGAGAGAACATCACGAACAGGTGAATAACAGAGAGAACATCACGAACAGGTGAATAACAGAGAGAACATCACGAACAGGTGAATAACAGAGAGAACATCACGAACAGGTGAATAACAGAGAGAACATCACGAACAGGTGAATAACAGAGAGAACATCACGAACAGGTGAATAACNGGGGAGTAACACCCGTGACTTCCACCCGCAGCACTTACCCTCGGTGGGGAAGAACACCCGTGACTTCCACCCACAACACTTCCCCGCAGTAGGGGGAGTGGTGGCGATGCGTGGGGAAACTTTCCTCAAGGCAAATGGATACTCAAACATGTACTGGGGAGGGGGTGGGGAAAACGACGATCTGGGATACAGGTGAGGCTTAAATATTATATAATAATCATTATCAAGCCTTCAATATTATATAATCATCATTATCAAGAACTAAATATTATACACATAGAATAAAATTCTCAGCAGTTTGAAACAGAAGTTACTTTAAACTTTATAAACTGAATCTTACTGCTCGAATGCAAACTCGTGCATAATCGCTTGAACTCTTACAAGTTCCATGAAATTAAACAAAGGCCATGAAATTAAAGCAGATTCATTAGATTAAACTAAAGCATGTTGGGTAACCTTGGGTATCAGTATATTGGAACACAGTAAACCCTGAGCTACTCTCATATCTAATATGTTCAGATATAGTTCAAGTAAACTTATAACGTAACGGGATTGTTAGCAATACGGTATGTCGGACATCATATGCATTGTTAATAATATACGGTATGTCTGACATCATATGCAAGATGTTAACAACATACGGTATGTCTGACATCTTATGCAAGATGTTAACAATATACAGTATGTCTGACATCATATGCAAGATGTTAACAATATACGGTATGTCTGACATCTTATGCAAGATGTTAACAATATACGGTATGTCTGACATCATATGCAAGATGTTAACAATATACGGTATGTCTGACATCATATACAAGATGTTAACAATATACGGCATGTCACACATCATATACAAGATGTTAACAATATAACATATATGCCCTCGCAGGTTGGCGCTGTCTGGCCAGAGGGTAGTGCGCCCCCCACCAAGTGTCGCCCGCTACGCGACCATCCCTCACACCAAGCGGGCTACCCTCACATCCAAGGTCTCCAATTACTTCCATCTCTTCCCTCCCTCCCCTCACTCCCCTCACTTCCCTCACTCCTCTCACTTCCCTCACGCCCCTCGTTCCCCTCATTACCGTCTAGCATGTCTTCATGTTTTGATGACTACCATCTCATTGATTAATTTTCAGCCAGTCTTCTATCAGTGAATATCTTCTTCATATCGTGAAAATAAAAAATAATTAATACAGTTATTCATCCCTGAACAAAATGCACTGTACCTGCAGGTACAGCCGTCGCCACGCGGGTATAGAATGGATGGACTCAATACGCTGCAGTATCGACTGCTGGGCCGCTCTGTACACCGTCTGTACACTCGTCTGCAGCTGGACGTGGGCTACCCGCCTGAGGGTACAGTCAGCTCAGCTGTCCAGTAGAGGGCACGTGAGGCACGTGGGCTACGTGAGGCACCTAGAGGCACGTGTGGCACGTGACGTGGGGTACGTGAGGCACCTAGAAGCACTAGAGGCACGTGGGATACGTGAGGCACCTAGAGGCACTAGAGGCACGTGGGATACGTGAGGCACCTAGAGACACTTGAGGCACGTGGGGTACCTGAAACAACTATAGGCACGTGAGGCACATGGGGTACTTGAGGCACCTAGAGGTACGTTAGGCACGTGGGCTACGTGAGGCACCTAGAGGCAATTGAGGCACGTGGGGTACCTGAAGCAACTATAGGCACGTGTGATACGTGGAAGCTTAGGGAACTTGGGACACGTAGAACACGTGAAGCATTTGGGACACGTAGAACACGTGTTACACGTGGGCCAATAACTTCTCTTGAGACACGTTTGCCACTTGGACACCAGACACCAGACAACTCTGAACTTCAATTTACGACTCCGAGTTGTGATTCCAAAACCTAGAAATAATGATATGAATAAGCCGAGTTTCAACTCATTAGGTTTAATTCTGAATTGCAACAAATGCTTTAAATTTAAATTTCACTTCCTATTTCGAGTTATAATTCTGACCTAAACTCTAAATTATAACCTATAACAAATAACTGTAAGTTATGATAAGTGTCGGCAGGTTAAAATAAGTGTATATGCTAGTTATGATAAGTATCGTCATTGTAGGATAAGTGTAGGTAAGCTATGATAAGTGTATGCAAGATAAGATAAGAATCATAAAACATGAACTCCTAGAAAGTGAACCAATTAGGCTTAAAGCCTTTTTACGTGAACCCATCAAGCTTAAACCCTTTTAACGGGAACCCATTAAGATTTACCCTTGTAACGTGAACCCATTAAGCTTTACCCTTGTAACGTGAACCCATTAAGATTTACCCTTGTAACGTGAACCCATTACGTAAGATTTACCCTTGTAACGTGAACCCATTAAGCTTTACCCTTGTAACGTGAACCCATTACGTAAGATTTACCCTTGTAACGTGAACCCATTAAGCTTTACCCGTGTAACGGGAACCCATTAAGCTTTACACTTGTAACGTGAACCCATTAAGATTTATCTCTTAAGCCTATTAATCTTAAACCTTTTAACATGAACCCATTAATCATAAACCCTAGAACGTGAACCCATTAGGCTTAAAGCTCTTGAACGTGAACCCGTTAGGCTTAAAGCCCTGAAGCCAGTAACATTGTCATTATTAATATATTTGACATTTCATTCTTTGCACTAATTCGGCTTTTATCTGAATATAAATTTTTATTAAGATCTTATTGTTGCCCTTTTATTAAATAAGCTTTTTTATGCTAAACAATAATAATTAAAAGGTTGCATTATTATTAACTCAAACTATAATATTACCATAAGGAAACATGATATTTATGGTGTACTAATTGTCAACAACAACATCAACAATAAAATATATTCCTAGAAAACTATTTAAATTAAGATTTAATAAACAATGACCGCGTTTACATATAAATAATGAGTATCTGGTGCATCTATTACCGCTACAGTATTAATATATTTAAGGAATAATTCATAGTAATTCATAACCATTCATCGTCACAGCCCTGAGAGGCTGAATGCTTATAGGCTATAGAAATAATTTTATTAAATATATAAATGAAAATAGGTTATTGGTTAAGGACTATCTCTTCAAATAATCAGTTATTAATGCTGTCTAGTAATTTGCCATTTCTTAATTATAATAATCCAGATATTTATGATCTTTAATAATCTGTTCATTATGATGTCTAAACGTTATCTAAAATATTAAATAATAAGTTATTTGACTAACAATGAGTTATTTATAATTTAAAACAATCATTTATAACTTCGAGTAATAAATTTTTCAAAATATCTTATGATCCATCATAGGTTATGTTGTAAAATGTCTTCGCTAATATGTCTGATAATCCCTTTTTCATTATGTCTAACAATCTGTTATTTACGATGTCTGATAATATAATGGTCATTGTGAATGATGAATGATCTGTTATTTACGCTGTCTGATAATTTTATCTTAATTCTGAATGATAAATAATCTGTTAATCTATGATTATTAATAATCAGTAACTTATAATGTCTAATAATTTGTAATTATGCAGGTTTTGTTATTGCGCCAGGGCGCTGTTGTTTTCATTATTGTTATTGATGATAGGCGCCTAATTAACGTCTAATGCTCAATATTCTGAATTTTGTAATCCACCGCGTGTCTGTATAAAGTATACAAACATATTTATACAAAATGTTTATATCAAATCATTCAGGTTGATTAATTAAACTAAAGATTTGTGAATGTGTTTCGTGAATGTACTCGTGTAGAAATGTAACACAGCTATTACAAAATGTACGTGCTATTGTTATAAATCGACTAGTTATTAAAACTTAATTACTACACCAGGTTAAACGAACTCGTCAGTTCGTATTGTAGTTGTACGTTCTAAAATATGTACGCAAATTATAGATTATATTTCCGTAAGTTTATAGTCTGTAATAAGCTATGCTTGTAAGAGATGTCTGCTCACGGTTATTTGCTGGTACTGCTTTAATAATAAATAATTTCAATATATTATAATCTCTGTTGTACTCCCTTTCCTTAATCATTTTTTAATAGATAAGAAGATAACTTAACGTTTAAATTATACATGAGGTGAACGATACGGTGTGGCAAATAGCGGACGGTAAATGGGTATAAATAACACACAATTCAATTCAGATTGTTTAATAAAAAAATTGATGTAATGCCTCTTCTTACAAACGATGCTGACTTAAAATAAAATCATTTAGACTAATAATAGGAAAAAATCTACAGACTAACATGGCCTTTATTCATCCTCTTCCTGAGCCAACGTCGCGAAGACGTCTCTAGTTTGTACATAAAATTACGTTGAAATTCGGGGGAATTTATGTTGAAATTCACGTAAAGAATTTACAAAAACCGACGACTCGAAATTACCGCTCGTTTTAGCGGTTGTCCATTGTGATTAAAATCCGTCGATTGCCAGCGGTCAATCACCGAGAAAAACAATCGGTTTTTACAATAAAAAATATAAAAGTTTGAACACTGCCAACGTGAAATCGAAGATTGGCAATCAGCAAGCGGTTCCCGACTGCGCATAGTCGAGCTAACGGAATTATGGCAACGATCGAGCAGGATTTGCTGGAGAAATCCTATAAAATTCAAGTTTTCCTAATAGAAAGTGACAAGTTTTATCGGAAATTATGGGATGAAAAAAAATTATTTCCTTCATTGCAAGTAAAGTCAAGATAAAATTATCGAAAATTTCTTGATAAATTCCAAATGAAGTACGAGTGTTGGGTAGGCGTTGGAAATTCTAAATTGTTGATCGTACACGTACCAACATGTAGATGAAAAAAAAAACGTTGAAATTTTTCATTCTTAAATCGCTTCAATCATCAATAAAATCATTTCTGAATTTCTCAATATAACTCTGTTTTATTACAAATAATCTCTGAACATATAATTCAAATTTAGTTCCATTTGACACACAAAATTTTTTTGCAAACAATCGTTAATATGGAAACGCGGTCATATCTTGATATTAATAATTTATTATTAATAATAATAGATAATTAATAATATCTTGGAATATCAAGATATTAATATCTTGATATTCCAAGTCTAGCAGGTCATCCGAAAGTCTCTTCGTAATCCTTTTCAAAAAGAATTAAGATTTTTTAAAAATACAAATGTCACAGTAAAAATTTTGTTTGGTAACCTAGCACCACGGAATTTCATAAAATTAAAATTTTATATAAAAATATAGAGGAACATTTGTGCGCTACAAAAGTTGTGTAAAGAAATTGTTTATTTTAGTAAAGAGCAAAAAAAAACAGACCAAAATAACGGACAAAATATCAAAAAAGTAACATCCTAAAAAACAACTGCGCAAAAACATGTAATTATTCCAAATATTTATGCATGTTTTAGGTAGGTTTAAGTAGACTACTTAAGTAGATTTTAAGTAGACTACTTAGCTTCTTGCTTATTTCATGAATGCCTGCTTCATGATTGCAAAACCACGATGAATTTTGACAGTTCAGTTAACAGGTCAAATTTACTAAATAGAAAACAAACTTGAAAAATTATCCATATTAACCACACAAGTTCATGTCCAAAACTCATAAGTTATAACTTATCATTTTATAAACTTTTCACATTCAAAAATTCCTTTTCGTTCGCGTCAACCTCGAAACATTAAAGAAAATCTTACGGATAACTTGTAAATTTTCACAATTTATTATAAGCTATGTAGGCGTGAATTAGATTTATCCATTTTTTAATTGAAGTTATCAAGTGTTGAATTAAAGTTATCTATTGTTTAAAGGATACGTTGATTTTTCCGTACGTTGTTGAATTAAAAATGTGCCGTCCTGAATTAAAATTTCCCCTCAGTATGTCGATGCCCTCGGAGCGCGAGGGACAGAAAACTACATCCAACCACATCAACAATTCAGCTAATAACTAAACAACTGCAACAACAATAGCACCGAACTACTCAGGAAACTCTGTACACACAAACAAGGTTTAAGTTGATTAACCTGCCCCTCCCGTTAACAGCACATTTATGCGGTGAAACGGCATTATAGGGTAAATCTGCACCGCCCCATTAAAATGGCATTGCAGGGTAAATCGAGGACCATAAATGGTTAAAATTTATGTACAGTTGCAATAGCAATAAAATATTTAATGAATTTCTGCGGAAAATCAAACCTTTATTAACATTTTTTTTCTTTAAATTTAATGGAGATCTTGGAAATTTAATCTCTTTCATAAGTGTGTTGAAATTACTCACGTATGGGTAGATCTAAATCAGTTGAGGGATGAGATGTATGATTAATAAATAGCATCAACTGATGTATTATGAATGATGTATGAATGAATGCAAAGGTATGAGTGTCCTCGAAAGAAAGCGATAATTGCAGACATAAGAAGTATAAATGATAATTCAGAATTATCACCAGTTTACCCGTAAACAGTTTATTTTAATTAACTAGATAATTTTAAAGTTGACACCGAAAACAGAAAAATCAAATATATTAAAATAAATACAATGCATTTCATGTATAGTCGTTAAATATTGGATTACTTAATCATCGTGAAGTCTGTGCACGGAAAACAACAGAGGGATAGAACACGCTTACACTAAAAAAACGGATGGGCAACATTGTCCGAATAAACTCAAAAAGTGCATCGCCATTAGGACAATAGCCCTCTGAGTTTTATGAGTGTAATGTAAGGCACAACAGAGATAAACAAATGACGCCAACTATCAACAAACAAAATAACGAAGATAAAATAACGTCAACAACTACGAATGATCGAAATATGGACTTTTTCGTACGTTAATAAAAGCGGAACCTTGATAACCTATTTTTTTTTAAACTTCATGTTTTACATTTTTTAGAATGTTTAGTCAAAATATACTTTAAACGTTTAATCTCATGTTACTTTTAACCTTTCTTTAAACATTTTTTTGAAATTTCCTTAAAATTATTGAAATGGTCGAAAAATTGCAATGATTGAAACATTTAACAAACATTCATCAAACGTTTTTATAATCGTCTTTTAAAACATTTCGTTACAACATTCGTTTAAACGTTCATTTCAACGTTCCTCCGATCTTCCGAATAATTTTACATTTAAGCTCAAACTTCATTACTTTATCTTCAACTCCAACATTCAGACTCCCGGATTCTGAATTTGGATTCTCATGTGTTATGAATTTAGCCTAATAATCATAAAAACTGCTTACCATGAGAGCAACTAGCATGCGTTCACTAGCCTAGGCCTATGCTAGAAATAAAATTATAGCGTCATTTAACAAGAAATTATGAGCGATTGTTTAAATATAACGAAAAAAAAACACATTTTCTGGAAATTTTTTTTTTGAAATTTCGATTTCTGAATAAGATTCTAATTGAACCTAATTAAAATCGCGTTGACCAACCACTATGCTAAGTTTAACTGTAGATGCTAATCATTGTAAGATAATCTAATCAGTACTAGTAATCCAATAGCACACTGTGTAAAGGCATATTAATTATTTAACTAAAAATTATCGAATTGCAGCACACCCAATAACTACTAGGTACGTGAACCACATGTGCTAAGTGGTTCGAATTTACAATTGAATTTAAATTGAACCAACACTTTAAGTGTTGGTCAAGTACAGACTTCATGTGGCACAATACAGACCACGACATAGTCTGCATGTACATAGTCTACACACACATAGTCTGCATGTACTTAATCTAACCCACACATTTTAGGAATAACCGTCGAATCTTGTGTTCTTTGCATGTCAACATCATCGTTTGTTTTCATTTGTCATGTTAATGTGTTGTAAACTTAATAACCACACAGTCTAAATTTACACAGCTTGTCCTTGGGTTCAAATTGGGTTCAGGGTTCGGCCACACTGAACCGAGTTCTGGCACCCCCCGACCCTAAGGTTCAAGTTTGGGTTCATTTTTTAAGCCCCATTTTTTCTTGCATTTTCGTAGTGTAGACTCCCAGTTTATGTCTGGTTGTAAAAATTCTTATGTTTACACGAAAAATATTTCATTTTCCTTATAGGCACTCTAAGCTCATACAGCAAACTTTACTTGCAACTTTCAGTAGTTTTTCGCAGCATTAAAATTACAAAGTTGATATGAATGAAAAGGGGTTTAAATCAGAAGAGAGATAGGCGATGATATTGGCTGCATTCTGAAAATGATAATAATGATTGATGGCTGAATTTAATGAGTTGATGTGATACACAACACAGAACAATATGAAAGTGTTGAACTTTGACGACGACAAAGTTTCAAGTTCTTTGAAAAAAGTTAGTTTATAAAAGTTTAGTTCATAGAAGCAATGAGATCACAACCCTGATGAGAGTAGACGGCAAGTTGCATGGCAGTTCTTTATATGTAAAGAACAATTTCTAGCTATAATCATGTTTTTCGAACATGATTAAAATTAAAGCTCCTTCTGGTAATGACGGTTACGCATTGACAAAATCTTTGCAAAAAATCTACTCGCTTTTTCAAAAGAAAAATATAAAAAAATTGGCTAACATTCTTCAATGTTTTTAAAGCTGATACAATTTTAATGGCCAATAAGAAGAACTTTACACTTCAGTGTAAAAACATGGTTTTGCAAACAATGTGAGTAAGTGACTTAAGATTAATGCAAAATTAATCTCAGAATTCAATACGTAAATCAGAAAAAAATTAATGAGTAATATTGTCCAAATAGTAAAACACTTTTTTTACAAGCAGGAACACTAGTAGATGTAGCACTGATACGAGCTTATATACTGGGTAGAAACGACCTCACCTGACGCAAAATGTGCATCGCTATTGGACAAAGTTTCACTCATTTCCCTGCATGATTGCATCATATCGACTGTTCATAATAATATAAACTGGAAATTATGTTGATTGTTACCATGGCTGATTTTGTACTGCCGTTTGATATATTCAATATTAAATGATTCTGTGGCTTCACATTCATAAATTCAACATGCACTTGTGGGAGAAAATGCATTCAATTGTTTCTATATAATTCCAGCATCACACGTAACTGTTTTTGGGGAATGACACATTAAGGAATTTTTCTTGAAAAGTTGAAAATGTAAAGAGAAAAATATAATACACGCTTTCAAATCCAGTACTTTGTACGACATTTTTTATCGATGACGTCGCTGGAAACTTTTCATTCTAATACCAAAATATTTTTGAAGGATTTACTTCATTTGTTATACCCACGAAAATGTCCTTTGTAGAATGTTCTCGGTTCAGAAGAAGGTAAAAGGGCAAGAAGGTAAAAGGGTTAGTTGACTAGTAATCATTGAGCATTTCTTCACAGCTTTCCACGAGCGGTCAAACGCTGCCACTTGAACTTCGTGCCAAGAGGGAATCCAAAAAGACATTCCACGAGGGGAAATTGGGAACATTTCAAGATAGAGAGAACAGAGGAACGTTACACAAGGTGAAAATTGAAGACGTTTCAAGATAGAGGGAATTTTTGAACGTTCTAAGTGGAAACTTCTGAACGTTCTGAGCGAGGGAACTTTTGAACATTCTGAGAGAAAAGCTACGGAACGTATAAAGAAATGGAACTTAGGAACGTTTGAAGATATGGTACCCATGAACGCTGAAGGAGCGCATACCTGGGAACGTTCAAAGAAGAGGAACATTAGAACGTACTAAGAGAAAGAACTGTCGAACTTTTTAAATGAGAAACTAAGGAACGTTTAAAAAGAGAAGAGCCTTGAAACTTTCAAGGAGGAGAAATGTTGGAACGTTATACGTTATACTTAGTAATTTTCAAATCTAAAGAGATCGCTGGAATGGTGTATATAGTATGCGTATAGTCGCATTTGTGCACAACCAAAGTCACGTAAGTAGGTTGAATATCCTCTTAGCAAAAGTGAGATTTTAAGCTCGATGAACGTATTGCATAATTTTTGTTCTCGTAGATAGAAAGACGTGCTCGAAAACTCAAAACATTCACATTTTTTTCAAGACAAACTATTTCTCAGTGCAGGTCATATTTCCGAAAAAAATGTTTAGGTTTTATAACACTTCAGTAGAAAAAGTCTTTGAGACTGCTATTACCCTGACTTGACGAACAATATGCCGTCTAACTCAACGTTCACTAAGACATCTACACATCTAGATTAGTTGCAAACATCAATGGAATTACATTTTGCGTCTAGAAAAATACTCTACACATCCACTACAATATCATCGAAAGACCACACACTTCAAAAAACTAAATTTCAGTACAAAAATTCCCCAACATTTACAATGGACGTGGAATCATCAATTGTATACAATCCTCTATTCATGTATACAATAATCTATTGTTGCATACAATCATCATTTATTGTATACAATCATCTATTGTTGTATACAATCATCTATTGTTGTAAACAATCATCTATTCTTGTATACAATCATCTATTCCTGTATACAATCATCTATTCTTCTATACAATCGTCTATACGGGGAAACGTTATCCCCTTGTACAAAAATTAATCTTTTCCCACAACACATTCAAGGACGCATCCTTTTATCCTACGACACCGCTAGACAAGTGTCCTCTAAAAGATCCTATAGGAGTTCCTAAGAACAAAAGCTGTTCATTGAACATCTGCACTCTAGCTTTACATGTGAATGTTCTGCAACATAACATCTGTAGGGAAGTTCTGCATTCACAAAAATGAATGGTCATATTCTACAACTAGTGACTCACTTTTGTCCAACTAGTGACTCACTTTTGTCCAACTAGTGACTCACTTTTGTCCAAATAGTGACTCACTTTTGTCCAACTAGTGACTCACTTTTGTCCAACTAGTGACTCACTTTTGTCCAACTAGTGACTCACTTTACCAACGCAGTGCGGATGCACTTTTTGGCTTCAAATGACCCAGACAGGCGCTAAACTAGCACCGTTACTTGGAAAATGACCCTCTCATTTTTCTGACTGATACAGAACAGTTGTTCACAAAGAACAATTAATATTGAACAGCATATAGGAGCTGGAACTTCACACATATCATTTTCAAATTAGTTACCCTTTGACTGGATGGCTGTACGTTCTTTGCTCGATTTGTGCTCGATGTTCACTAGAAAATATATTGGCTTCATTATTATGGCATTGTTGCATCACTTTAGTACGCAATTATACTATAAATATAACGTAGTTATTACAATATTGAAGATGACGTACTCTTCAAGGTACGTAATTGTCTCTAGATTGTACGTAATTGTAGGGGTGTAAGATTGTACAGGTCGGTATTGTACGGTCACATCCTGTTTGTGTTGTCTTATCATGTATGGATAAGCATTTTAATAGCATTTATTTCACAAGCTGTTCTGAAACATGCTTATCTCGCACTCAGAAACAGGAATGGATTATATTGTCCAAATAGTGAACCACTTTCTTGCCTATAGGGGGCGAGCTGCGAGCGGACGTAACAATGAACGCTCTCTTGCCGGATCAAACTGGGTCGGGACGAACCATACAATAACAAAAAAGGATCACTACCTGGACAAAACTCACTCATTTCACTGAGTGTAAATGCCAGAAACACAATAGAGCATGTAATAGCAAACAACAATTGTATGGCGTTTGCTACCATATCATTATGTGGATTTTACAATAGTTTGAAAGAAAAAAGATGTATGCCGTTAATTTCTATTGCTACATTCTTGGCTTCTGGCACTCGAGATGAACATGTCGACGACATGCCTAACCTGCGGCCTCTTGAACGTGTAATTTGAACTATTGACTCTGATCTCACTCTGTTACTAGTGGAAACTGCACAGTGTCACTAATGGAAACTGCACAGTGTCACTAATGGAAACTGCACAGTGTCACTAATGGAAACTGCACAGTGTCACTAGTAGAAACAGCACAGTGTCACTAGTGGAAACTGCACAGTGTCACTAGTGGAAACAGCACAGTGTCACTAGTGGAAACTGCACAGTGTCACTAGTGGAAACTGTACAGTGTCACATAGTGGAAAGTGCACAGTGTCATTAGTGGATACTGTGCAGTGTCAATAACAATCATTCTCACAGTACTCCATCAATCACCATTATTCTCGCAGATTCCTTGGCCAATCGCAATAGTTTTCACATAGTCCTTTATCCATCACAATATTTCTCATACGCATTTCTGCCAATCAAAAACATTCTCACATATTCCTCTGCCATTCACTATTGCAAATGGCACATTGAATGCCATTTATTAACCACTCAATCTGCACGTAAAATAAATAAATTCAGTTGCACGACTTAGGAGGCCAACAGTTAGGCGTACGTAAGTTCAATTGTTGATGTTATTTCAATAGATTTCAGACTCTCGTAGGTTGGGGTAACCCATGGACCAAAGCAGCAGGATTAATGAGGGCATCCGAGGCCACCACAGGAATGTGAGGGAACATCCCGAAAGGATCCGGTAGCATAGGAGCCTCCATCGCGGTCATAGGATTCCTGAATCGGAATCCGTGAGGTAATCCTATGTCTTGGTCATTGTCGATAATAGAGCTGGGATCCTTGACCATAGGATTAGGTAGGAAAGAAGTAAGGGAATAATTGCTGACATCAGTTCTTAGTTTGTTGAAAAGGTGTAAGGTATTTTCAGCGAAAGGGAAGTGTCATGGCTGTGTGGGTAGTACACTAGGTGGGCCGCTGCTCTCCGCGTAGTTGGTAAGGGCAGAGGCCGTGTTGGATAGTCTAAGTTCGTCCTGGTAGGATCCTAAAGTGGGTCTAGAAGTGTCAGAATATTGACTATTATAAAGGGAACGTCTCAGCTGGCTAGGTAAGGCATCGGGACGGCTGATGTCAACGTTTTGGTGCTCCCGGGCAATGTGGCAACGAACCGTGAACCATCTGGTGAACCCCCGCTGGCAAATGGGGCATGGGATGCGAACCCCCTTGTGGAAGCATCGGATGTGGGTACGTAGGTTGTTCTGGTGGCGGTATGCGCGGGCGCAGTACGGACACTTGACGCGTTCTTCTGGGGGAAAACAAGCGTGTTTATTGATCTGAAGAAACAGGGGGATTGTTTAAGTTTATTTTCCGAGAGGATAAATGCGTTTATTAACGCCATTTTCTGTTTCTGAAGCGAATTGAAAAAAGTAAGGTTTTCATGTATAAAGTAAACGGAAAAAATGTTTTTCGTTGTCGAGTAAAAACAAAAGTCTGGATATAATAGTTCAAGCAATAGTTCAATGAATCACATTCCTCACCCGAAGACCCGGACCCCTTCAACCCCTCCTTCTTGAGCTTGCCCCCCGACCCCGGAGTGGACAGATCCGTGGCCGCGTCCGCCCCCCCTCGGCTGCCATTGCTGCCCCCCGTGCTGCTTCTGGAATCCTCTTCCTCATCCTCCTCATCCATCACCAAGCCATCGGACTCGTGCTTGCCTGATCCACCAGAATCTGAGAGGTGGGAGGATTTGGTGAGAAATATTTGATATTTGTAAAGATGAATCGATTCGGAAATATTCGCTACGTGTAAATAGATTGACAGGTCGATACAGAAATATTAGAGTTGTGTTAAATAGATAGATCAATCGACTCAAAAATATTCGATGTAAGTAAAGTAATTTAATCAATCGATTCGGAAATATTCGATTTAATTAAAGTAATTTAATCGATCGATTCAGGTATATTCGAAATATGTGAATCAAATCGATTAATTCAAGTTTGATCGATTGGTCAAACTTGATCAATCGTTATCGAAAAGTTGCTGGAATATGTGTACAGCAGAGTTAGCTGGATAAGCACTCAGAGAAATGAGTAAGACTTTGTCCTGATAGTGTTGAATTTTTTGTCTTGTGTGGGTCATCCTGACCCAGTTTAGCCCGGCAGTGTAACGTCCGCTCTTTGCTCGGATTGAATGAATGTAAATATGACCCATTCACTTTTCTGAGTAAGTTGTGTTGTAGGTAAACACCAGTAAATGACATAAAAAATAAAGCTCAGTTTGAAAAGTGGAACTTTTATCCTCTGAAATTTATGTTTAGAAGAAATTTCTTAGAGAAGAATACAAGAAAAAAATTTAAATTAATAATGAATACTTACCATCAGAGGGCGGAGAGAACTGGCTTTTGTCGTGTGCAGGACTGATGGAACTTTTGTCGTCGTCGTTGGAACGTTCGTGATCAGGTAAGTCCTTTATGTCCTTGATGCCCTTAACGTCTTTAACGTCCTTACCCTCAGGGGGATCAGAGCTGGGGAACAACGGGAACATTTGCGGGGGGAACTGTGATGAGGATTGTTGAGCTTGTTGTTGTTGCTGTTGCTGCTGCTGTTGTTGTTGTGATAGTTGCAATGATAAAACGTGGGGTAAAGAGGATGATTGTTGTTGCTGTTGCTGCTGTTGTTGTTCTCTTTCACGTTGTTCTCGTTGCTGGTTCTGCTTGTGCTGCAGGAGGGTTTTGTGCAGGATTGTGTAACGCTCTGCGGAATCTCGCTCTCGATCTGCAACTCGGCCGTTCTCAAGTTCCCTCTTGAAATCTTCAGAGGATGGTCTTGGTGGCCATGATGGTTTCTCGCGCGCGTCGCGCTCGTCAGGGTCGTATCGCGTGCCTGAGAGCAGAAGGTGGGGCGACCGTTCCAGAAGATTCTTGGACTTGTCCTGCAGCAGCGGCAGCGCCGGCAGGTTGAAGTGCAGCCCGAACGGCGAGATACTGAAATGTTTTTGGATGTTTAGAACTTATTCCATTTTTGTGTACACATTCACCATTAAAAGATAGTTTCTATTCGGAAAAATAAACTCATGTGCTCTCATGAGAGCAAATTATCTTACTATAAATTAAAACATAGTTCGTCATGCTGTTTGTTAATTCTTTTTTTTTTTGCTTTTTATTACATGAGTCAGCGTGCTGGATACATTTTTATAGGTGTGTGCCGGCAGATCTTCCCCTACCAAAAAATGTTTTCATTCCTAATTTTTTAAATTCTATTATAATATTAAAAACTATTTTGTAAATACTAGACAGCCTGATATTCAACTAACCCAAGTTGTGACGGAAGCTTATGTTCCAGGCCTGGGGATTTGGGGGAAGACCGAGGGGGAAGGAGAGGGGCATCGAACTGCCCGCCGCGGGAATAATAAGCAGAGGAGGTGGGGAGGTCCCTCCCTATTGGGGACGGTGCAGACACCACTGGGGAGGGAGTCATCCTCCGACTACCCGAAGATGTTCCCCAACCAGAAAACGAGTGGGAAGACAAATCTCTCGGGATTTCACGGGATAGCTGTTCCCGTTGCAGTATCTCCCGCGATAATTCCCTTTTTATATCCCTGTTGGGGATGTCACGACCGAAACTCGCATCACGACTCAAGTCCCGGACATAATCCCCTCTTGAGGAATCCCTATGGGGAAGTAGATCTTGTCGAGGTTCAAGCCTCATGTCCCTGGGATCAGGTTGATGCCCCGTGGGGTCTTCCCCTCGGGGAAGGGCGTCCACGATTCGATCTCTCAACAGCGCCGTGTCAATTGGGGAAATTCGGGAACGTTTGTGGGGAGGAGAGTTGGAGGATAGAGGGTGCCGGAGTAGGGGATTAGGATGGGGATCGGGATCACGATCCCCGTTTCTGTCTTGGTCGTTTTGTCGGCAATTGGGGGCTTGGGGACGCCGTTTGTTGGGGTTGTCCTCGTGCTCGATGTCGATCAGCCCCTTGATCTGGGGAAAATATTTAAAAAAATTAGTACGATGCAAATCAGGATGAAAAATACATTCTTTATAAAATCTGCATTCGATGTGGGGAAGAATCACTCCTTGAGAAAATAATGAGCCTACCAGAAAATTGGCTCATGACCGGGTTAGAAAATTTTGTCAACTTAAAAATCTGACCATTGACGGACTGGAAAAATGATCGAATAAAAAAAGGCTCGGGATGTATAGAAAAAAAACATGAAAAACACTATTTTTTCCAGAAATGTATAGCTTCAAAAATTAAATTATTTTTTAAATATCATATATTGGAGATGTCACTAACCATTATATATTTGGATTAAGAAAATATTAAGTTTAGGTTCACCTTTTGAAAAAAAAAACGAATAAAAAAGAAGATGTTAAATTTGATAGCCTAGTCAGCAAATCAAAATACGGAAAAATAAGAAAACAAAAATTAATTGCTAAGTTAAAAAATATTTCATGATGGTTCGGCAATATTAAGAGAAAAAACTTTCGTGTGTGCAACCAAAATATAATATAAATAAAATGTCTGCAGTCTCTGCCGTCTTGAGAAGACTCTTATGGTTGTACTGTACCTCCCCACAGTACATGTACTCTCACCTGTAGAGTCTCTGCCGTCTTGAGAAGACTCCTGAGGTTATCCTGCGCAATGTTCACCTCTCCTTTGTACATGTACTCCACCAAACTCTGGATATCTGCCAGCCGAGTGCCGTCTAGAACTATGAACGGGTGTTGGTTCTCAGGCAGGTTCTGCAGGATGCGTTCAAAGTGAACCGAACTCGCCAGCAGAACCAGCTTGTGAACCCGCAGGATGGTTCCTGTTGGTTGATAACGTGTGAGTAATAAAAAATATAACTCATTACTCACTGCAATGAGTGACAGAGAGCGCATTTTCTCGTCGACGAAAATATTGAAGTCACGGACGAACAGACGGACATGACGAGCACAATAGGGTATTTCTTCCATAAATGGGAAAATGCGCTTAAAAGCAATGTCATATAAAAGGATTTTTTTAATCCTAAATTTAGATATTCAGACTTGAAAACTATTTATTCCGGAACATTATATTACAAATAAAAACGTATGCAATTTAATAAATGCTATCATAATGATTTTGTCGGTGTATATGAATGAGAATTTCGTTGTGTGGTCAAATATATGAAAATGAAAAGAAGAAATTTTAAAAATGCATCAGGTTTTTAGAGAAGTTTTAACTCTGAAATTAGGCTTTCAGAATTCGCTGTAATCTCAAAAACGCCCAATTTTTTCCCTGAAAATACGATTATTAAATTCAATCTTAGAACCTTCATTTGGAATTATTTTCCCTAACTAAATTCCAGGAAATTTCCTAATTTTTTTAATTATATTCGTATTCTTTAAAAATTTTCATTCCTAAAAAAACAAGGTTTATTTTAAAAAATCGAGCGTCATTAATTTTTTTCGTAGTTGTACCGTTTTCCTAAACTAATATGCTCATGGAACATTTCATTTATTCACAAATAAGAGTATTCATCACCGAAATTCATCAACCAATTCATTGTATTCATTACAAACCTTCACAGAAAATAGTGACGTCAGCGTACTGCTCCGACGCCATGACGGTGGATAAAGTACCCATGAGGTTACTCAGGTGATTATTCCACCTCAAACAGAAGTGTTGTGAGTCACCACCTACACCACCACCACCACCACCACCACTTCCACCATCAATGTTGGTGGTGGAGCTACCGTCACCACCACCGTTGGATTGTGGTGTGCATCTGGGGCTGTCGTTTTTGTTGATGTGGTGGTGATGGTGGTGATTGTTGGTGGTTGAGTTGGTGGTGTTTGTGGTGCTGGTGGATGTGGTGGATGAAGATAACAGGGACGGTGGCACCAACAATCCACCTCCTCCACCACCGCTGCTGCTGCTCATCGCCGAGGTGCTCAAACCTGGGCAAAAGGCACGTGAACGTTATTTTATTTATTAATTAAATAATGGAATATATGCATGTATTTATTTTATTTATTAATGAAATAATGGAACGGTAATGCAATGTAACAAAATTAATACGATTTGAAGTGAATTTTTATACAGACTATTTGTTTAACATTTACTGGAAAAAAATACTGATTAAAGACGACAACGAAATCATGCTTCAATCGATCATCGATTCTTGTTAATCAATCATGCTTCTAGCAATCGATACTAAATGATTGTGGTTATAATTATAATAATTATACCAAATAATTGTGATAAGTATAATAATTATACTGTCAGGAATAGCACGTTAAAAATAATAAATGTACGAAACTTCATTGCACAGACAACATAATTTTTTAAGTAATTTTTTAAGTCAAAGAGAAGTTGATCTTGAATGTAAAATATAAAAACTCTTTTCACTAACTCATCCACTTTTTTTCTCTCACACTTTCCTACCTCTTCCTAGCTTCCCCATCCACTTGTTGTAACCTCACACAACACGCCTCTCTACCTCAACCCTTTCACTCCATCTCCTCTTCCTTATCTCTTTCCATCATCAAATTGCTCTCATCCCTCCATACAACCCATTTCCTTCCCCTTCACTACAATCCTTTCTTCGCCTCCTTCTCCTCTCTACACAACCCTTTCTTTCCCCCTTCTCTCCTCCCCACAACCCTTTCTTCCCTCCCTTCTCTCCTCGCCGCAACCCTTTATTCCCTCCTTTTCCCCTCGAAACAGCCCTTTATTCCCCCCTTCTCCCCTTCATCGCAACCCTTTCTCCCCTCCCCTCCCCCCCTTGCAATCATTACCGCCTCGAGGGTCTGCAATCAAGATTCAAGATGGCGCCCAGCTTCCCTCGCGCGTGCAACCAATCACAGGCCGCCATTACCGCCCTTTAATTGCACGCTCGCTGCGCAATATTCAGCGCTTATTAATCCCCTCGGCTGGGGAGGAGGGGAACTTCGAACTGGGGCTGAAAATTCCCCATTTGAGCATAAAATTCCTCAACATGGATCGCAAATATGGGATCTGACTGCTGGAGTTAAACATCGATCTTCTGGGGCTGAAGATAAAAAATCCCCAAGAATAAAAAAAATTCACCAAGTTTCAAAAATATTCCTTCAGCTGGGGCTGAAAATTCAGCATCTCGTGCTAAAATAAATCCCTTTATTTAAATATCGAGCATAATTAAATAATTAAATAGTTTTAAATCATTACTCAACAATTAACACCCTAAATGCTGAGTACTCTAAGGATGAGGCAAGGGGGGATTTAGGCTGCCCTCTCCCCTTTCCCCTTGAGTCCCCAACCCCAGCCATTAACCCCCAACCTCACATCCCCCGTAGCATGTCCCCTTTTTAAGCACCTAAAATTACTTCGCGTTATTTACGTCCATGGCCTCGGTCACAATTACTGTGAATATAATTACAGAATTCATCCGATGAATTCAAATTCCAACCGATGGCTAATAGAATTCAACCGATTAATTTAAATTCAAAAAGATGACTTATAAAATTAAACCTATAAATTAGGAAATTCAACCGATAAATTAAGGAAGTTAACTCATAAATTATAAAATTCAACCGATGTATTCAAATAAACTGATGACTTATAGAATTCAACCTATAAATAAGGAATTCAACCTATAAATTATAAATCTCAACCGATGAATTACAAAATTATTCCGATGAATTAAAGAATTAATCCGATTATTCAAGGAATTTAACAGATGAATTAACGAATTAAATCAATGACTTAAAGAAATAAACCTACGAATCGGGGAATTCAACCTATGAATTTGAGTTCTAGCTTTCTGGCACGCACCACAAAGATACCAAATTCTGATGTTATCCTAACATAATGAATAAAAAATATAATATAATATAGATAAATATTTTAAATGAATACAAGCATATAATGAATCGAAACAAAATAAGAGGAGTCAATTTCTAAACACACTGTATGAAATCTTCCTTATTGAGTCAGTTGATATAAATACACTTTGGTTCCTGCTTTGAATTTTGTTTCTTGTTTTATTTCTGCAATAGCTTTAATAATGCTGCCCTTGATATCAGCATCATCAAACACGGCTTTTTAAACCTTTTAGGTCAGCACGAGCGTTGCACGAGCCCTGCAACAATTAAGCTTTCTAACCCTTTAGGTCAGCTCTAGCCCTGCAACAATAAGGGTTTTTTAACCCTCTAGTTCAGCACGAGCGTTGCACGAGCCCTGCAACAATTAAGCCTTTTACCCTTTTAGGTCAGCTCGAGCCCTGCAACAATAAGGGTTTTTTCAACCTTTCTGGTCAGCACGAGCGTTGCACGATCCCTGCAACAATAAATTTTTTTTAAACCTTTTAGGTCAGCTCGAGCCCTGCAACATTAAGGTTTTTTTTAACCTTTTAGTTCAGCATGGGCGTTGCACGAGCCCTGCAACAATAAGGGTTTTTGTGCAAGTTATCCGTTCAACAATTAATGGCCATTGCTGGCAAAAATCTTTTATTCAAAAGCTTCTTTGAATAAAAAATAATAATGTATGCATCAACAATAGCATATTGTTGATGGTTTTCTAACCAAACATGAGTTGCAATAAGCAAGATTTTGTTGTATTAGGGTGACATGTAGTTAAAACATGTTCATGCTCTCATTAAATAACCTATTTAGCACTATGACACTTCAAATAAATTCAATTGTTACAGATTTAATTATTTTAATAGAAAAATTTTTAATCTCAACTCTGATTAACCTAAGCTCAAATTTTATTTATTGAATATTCAAACAGAATTAACAATTATTTTATATATATCAACCAACAATGTACACTCATTTCATCCTTCAAATTTATTTGTCATTCAAAAGTCCCACCATGAGCCTAATCCTGAACTGGAATCTCGATCAAGGCCTACTTTTTTTCAATAGAAATATTTTTCCTGCAGCGAACAAGAGCAGCTGCTTGCAGGCACAGTTTTTTTCTGCATGCAAATGAAATAAAAAAAAGCAAAAAAATTTCTTGCGCCACCATCTGCCGACTGACCGTTAGATCCTCAATATACCGGCCCCCTTCTCTGCACGCGGCTCACTCTTCCTACATCCACAATCCTTTCAATTTTCACTATTTTTTCTACATCAACTATCCCTTTCTATATCCATTATCCTTTAAATTTTCACTATCCTTGCTACAGCCTCTATCCTCTCTACATCCACTATTCTTTTCTACATCCATTATTCTTCCTACATCCACTATTTTTTCTATATTAATTATCCTTTTCGGCAGCCATTATCCTTTTTACATCCACTATCCTTTTCTACGTCCATTATCCTTTCTACATCCACAATCATTCTCTACATCCACTATCCTGTCTATATCCACTATCCTTTTCTACATACATTATCATTTCTACATCCACTATCTTTTCTACATCCACTATCCTTTTAATTTTTACTATCTGTTCTATAACCGCTATCATTTCGACGTCTACTATCCTTTCAATTTTCACTATCCATTCTACAACCGCTACGGTATCCTCTCTGCATCCATTATCCTTTCAATTTTCCCTATCCTTTCAACATGCACTATCCAGCACCCCTTTTTCTACCCGTCTAACGGTTGCAAACGCTCCCTTTCACGCGCCATTGTCAACCATTTCCCACTTTTTTCTGCATCATCGCTATGCTTTTTTCATCTCCTACAAAATTCTTGATTTTAAAACGGCGTTTGGGATCATTTGTATCGCTGTTGCATGTGCGTAACATGCGTAAGGTTACGCATTGTATTACTCATATTGTACTATATACGCTTATATTAATTTTTCGACTCTAGGCGTGCAAGTTTCCGTAGAGTTACTTCTTTTTTTGCCTTGAGAAAGAAGGTTAAAATATTCTTTTAAATCATTGCAAAAAGCAAATCGGTAGGCGGAGCCAAGGTTCCCTATCATCCGTTGCATGCTAATGAGATCTTGAATAATCTAACCATAATCATAACGATAATCATAACACTTGTATCGTAAGATTCACTATAATCATAAAATAACACTTGTTTTATCTGTAATATGATAAAATAACATCTTACAATAGAAGTTACAGTTTGTGTTAAAGGCTTACAATTGTGCTGCATTACGGCATTTGATGTTAATTGCTGCTTTCATTTATGGAAGCTTACTTCGCTTATCCTGCGAAGCAACGCAGGACACACAAATATCCTACTAAATAAAGTTTATTATTCTAATATCCTACAAACCAAAGTGATTTTTCCATCAATCAGATATTGACGTCGATTGTTGTTAGTTAAGAAGAAACTAATACTGAAAATCTAAATTTTTCAAATTATTTGATATTTATATTATATTGTTATATTTCTGAAAAAAAAAAATTATAAGTGTCCAAAAATTTATTTTTTTTTTCGCGCCACCGAGCTTTTATTCGACTAAAAATAATTCAAATGCAATGTAGGAAAAGCTAGTAATTGTTTGTTCAATATTTGTGAAAGTTTTCATCTCTACTTTCCTTTTACTGCACGCTAAAATTCATACATTTTTCCTATTGCATTTCAAAGAAAAAATCACTGCAGCAATGTACATGAGCAACAAAAAAAATTTTAGAAATAAGAGAAAAAATCACGGCATGCAAAGAGGTCAAAAAAATGTTCATGCAAGCGGAAAAAAAAACTAAAATACGCCCAAAGTCTAAATAAAAATCGACCTCGCGGGCAGCGCCCTCCAACGGTCATCGCTTCCTCCTTGCTTTTCCTGCAGGATTTTTTCTATTAATGTTTTATTATTGAAGGATTTTTTTCGGCTTGCGAGGCGCCTTTTGTGATGCACGACCCCTTCCTTAATGCCGCCCCACACGCCCGATCAATGGCGTGTGCGTGAGACACACGCACACACACGCTCGGTTCACACGCACACGATAGTNAATAGAAATATTTTTCCTGCAGCGAGCAAGAGCAGCTGCTTGCAGGCACAGTTTTT